TAATACACCCACCGAGGTCTTCTTTTAGGTGTCCTGCGACTGCCCGAGCTGTCCTACTAAGTAGCTCAAGGCAACCTTTGACCGAAAAGTTCTATAGTCTAAGAAAAAGCTCTCCCACACACGGACTGCTCCAAGTGCACGAGAGTAGGGAACAACTTTTCTTCTCAAGTGAGTGTGTATTTGCCTAATGGACTCACCGAGGTATTTCTTTATTTGTTCCCGGATTGCCCGAACTTTCCCATTAAGTAGCTCAAGGCAACCGCACAACCAAAATCACAATAAAAAAAAAATTGTTCGGGTATTTCTGATACACCCGATCTAGAATCCAAAGTTGATCACGAATTTCCGGGTCAAAATGGGCTCCTATGATCCTAATAAGCACGCCTAATATCCTAATATGATATTTATTAAATGGATATTTCCCGTCTCCCAAATTGCCACAGAAGGTTTCCTCAAGTTTCTAACAAGGAGGGTTGCTAAGAAGTTCATGTCACTCCGGAGGGTTGTTCGGAGGGTTGTTAAGACACTTAGCCTACCTCGGAGGGTTACTTCGGAGGGTACCTTAATCATCCAAGTTACTTCGGAGGGTCTCCTTAAATTTACTAAGGAGGGTCAATAAGATGCTTAATATGCTCCGGAGGGTTACTTCGGAGGGTACCTCCAAAATTTTCAAATTTCTGAACCTCACTTAGAAGGGCCTTCAATTAATTTCAGGAAGCGTCAAAACAAACTAAATTTTCTATGGGGGGCAGTTTTAACTTTTTTGGATGATATCGTGGAAATTTTCCACTAAGGAGGGTTGCTAAGGGGTTTAGCTGACTCCGGAGGGTTACTTCGGAGGGTTCCCCAAAAATCAAGAAAAAAGGTTATGTTACCGCGATAAAGTCTCCAAAAGCGGTCCACCTGACTTAAAACTAGGTTGGCTGACACGGTCAACCTTCGCAGTTGGATAAAAAGGTGTTTTGATAAAATTTTCTGCCGCTCGGAGGGTTACCTGTGATTTGGACCCTCCGAACCAACAAATTCTGAAAAATTTTTCTTTTCCGAGATTATCAACCCAAAAACGATTGCGGTCCGGAAAATTGGTTCAAAACGTCGACTTATGGTACCAAAATTATCCCGATCGTTTGGCTAGTCTTTGAGAAATTGCCAAAAACGTGTTTGTCCAAATGGGCGTTTTTCACCACCTATGTAGGTTCTGAGAAACTTTTTCCGCAAATCCTATTGAAAGTGCCTAAAAATAATTGAAACCCGCGTAGTAGCCCTGTACGGCACTGGAATCATGCAAAAAACCGGACCAAAATTGGTTTGGGACAAACATTTGGCTAATAACTATCAAATTTGGACCCTCCGATTCCTTCCTTTTCCAATCCTTAAGTCGTTAGCTCTATCCACGGAGCTAATCGGAGGGTTACTCAAGAATCTTTCGGGCAGCCGAGCACGTTATGCTAGCACGCTCCTAATACAAAAAATTTTATTGCTCTCACTCTAAAAACTCAAAAACTCGATCCCCAAAACAGATTGACAAAATTCAGAAAATTACCGAAATTTTGACCGAAAAATTTTGGTTTTATCCAGCTTTTACTGAGTCTTTTCTCACGCGGTTTCTTTAGTTAGGGGGATCGAACTACGTAGCCACTCCCTATATAAAAGCTTTTTGCTGTTCGGAAAAGCTCGGATATCCAAAAATTTGGGGGTCTATAGTTTGTCAAAAATCAGTAATTTTCGACAAAATTTGGGTGTTTCTTGGGTCTAAATAGGAGATAAGTAATATATAAAAAGGACAATAATCTTTTAGCAGTCGTTAATGAATATTACTATTTCCTCCTTTGCACCAAAAAACCCGAATTAAGACCCTTAACTCGGAAATTTGTAATCGATGGAGGGTACAATCGGACCGCGCCAATCGTGCCCCCACCACTTAAGTTTTGATGAAATAGAACCCCAATGATACCAAAATTGTTTCAACGATACCCAACAGTCGTTGTGGATGTTGTCCCCGATGTCCTTGTTGAGTGTGGAACACGTCGGTCAGCTTGCCACTCAACCCTCCGGCCACCGGCAAAATCACCACTAACGTGCTTAAATACTCAAATTACACTTAAGAGAGGGTATCCAACCCTTCACCAAAACAAACAATCTTTCTATCAGAAACGATAAAAATCAATCTGAAACAACAACAAATAGGAAGGTCAGATCACATCTCGTCCGGAAATAAAATATAAACTGTCAATTTATGTTTTTTACTGTTTTTGGTCTTTTTTGGTTTTTTTACTGTTTTTTGTACTTTTTTGTTTTCAAATAAATTTATTTTTGACTTTTTCTTGTTTATACACTATTTTTGTTTGGTTTTACGCTTTCTCTTTAATTGTTTTCGGTCCTGGGACCTCGGGACAAGCGGGCTCTAGATTTCCCACCTAACCCTCCGGCCCCCGGAATTTTCGGTGTTAACTAAGTTAAAAAGCTAAACAATACTAGACGGAGGGTACGCACCTTCCCCCTAGTACAATAACGGTCATTAAGGTCTCTAACTTGGGCATACGCCCGGAGCGGAGGGTTCGTCGCTGAAACGCTTGCTGATCATGATGGTCTCATGCCTTTAACAGGCCCACCCAGGAGCGCCATAAAAACGTCTATGTAACATTCGCCCAAATACTACACAGCGACGGAGCGTAGAAAAAGTACCTATTAACGACTGGCAGGCGTCAGTTACCTTGTTCTATTCGTTTTTACCAGTCTCGACCTTGCCAGTTGATTTTCTGGTCTGTTTAGGGCTAAGTAAAAAGTTACTATTTTTAGGCCATCAGTCAAACGACTTTTGATCAGCTTTCGTTTACATGCGAACACAACCACATAGATGGGTCTCGGATCCTCAGACTACGTGATTGCCATTAAAAACACGGCTCGAACAACCTATTTTAATATGTTTTTGTGTGACAGTTCTATATTAAATCCATTGGAGATGGATTGACCCTTTCCTCTTTCTAGCTACTCATATTCTAAAATATTAAATTATACCGGTGTTAATTCAAAGTTTCACGACATGCAAGTAGCTACAAAGTCAGTGTTATATAGTCCCTTCACATAAAACAGTCTCTGGGGGACCAAGCCTCCGCTCCCGTAATCTTCCTGAGATAACGCTGTTATCTCTCCCAATTTGTGGCACGGGAGGGTTCCGTGGAATATTCCTTCCCCACTAAAGCTTCCTTTTCCACTAATATCCACTGCTAAGAGTCTTATCGTGTGATGTTGCCACGATAAGAGGCTTCGTATTTCTCGTCTCTTGTGCGACCGTTTTCCACACTATTTGTCGTTGTTCTGTTTTTTCGTCCTTTTCAGTCAAAATGGCCGTCTTTTTGTATTTCTCAAGAAATATTCACTCTTCGATCGAAAATTTTAAAATTAAAAATTCTACAATATTCCTACCCTCCTTCGCAATACTTTTTCGTTACTAAGGCCTTTATTCGTTTTCTTTCATGTCGCCGGAAGGCTGCGCTGTGCCAATCTGGCAGAATGGCACAATTTCAGGGCGAATGTTACAAGATGATTATTTTTATCTACTGAACAAAAACAATAGTAATACAATAAATAAGTAGTAGCCCTGTTTTTAGGAGTGACGTCGTGGTCAGGGGATACTGAGACCCAGCCATGAGCTCACTATTTTTGCATCTAATTAAGTTAATTAGAGCGTTCTGATCGAAGCCGGAAACAGTAACGTTTTTGTCGACCTGATGTTAGAAAGACCACCAAAAGAACTGGCTTTGGCAGAGACGGTGAAAAGTATGTATAGCTGTGTTTAGACGCTGGCCAGTCGATTTAGAACCTAGCTTTATTTCCCGTCGATATGTACGGGCGAATGTTACACCTGTTTTTAGGAGTGACCTCGTGGTCTGGGGATACTGAGACCCAGCCATGAGCTCACTATTTCTCTATGTAATTAGGTTAATTAGAGCGTTCTGATCGAAGCCGGAAACAGTAACGTTTTTTGTCGACCCGATGTTAGAAAGACCACCAAAAGAACTGGCTTTGGCAGAGACGGTGAAAAGCATCTAGAGCTGTGTTTAGACGCTAGCCAGTCGTTTTAGAGCCTAGCTTTTTCCGTCGATATGTACTTCCGGGCGAATGTTACACAGTCCCAAGCGTCCTCGTGAATCTTGGGTGATACGCGTGGTTGAGGTATGTGTGGAGCTTTCGCAGTAGCAGGGACTGGGTGTGTCGTGGACAAGTGATGCCCAAGCATGACAGCTCCGGCGCTATCGGACATCGCGGGGATAGTGTAGGTGCATCCGTCAATGTAGCACCCTACTTCGGTCATCCTTGTTGCTTTTGTTGTTCTTGAAGAGAAATACCAAGCAAAAGCAGGCAATTTGTCAAAACATCAATCCGTTTAACACAATGTTAATTCTGAAACGACAAAAAGACTTGACAATTAGTTAGCACAAGTTACTAATACATTACATAAAACAGATTACGTAACAAGGGTCCTTCTACTCCAACAGTTGGCATCGCTGAAAGGAACATTGAGCTTGGTGTGCAAGCTGCCTTCAAAAATTACAAATTGTGTCATAATTAAGCCGAGTTCGCAGATGATATACATTTCAGCTATGCCTGGGAGCCGATAAAAACGTCTCATTAATGCTTATGCAATGTAGCTTACTCACTCACTGAGTCATTGCATTTGAAGCAGCCGTTCACTCAAGTCACATACTAGGTTTGAAAAATAGGCCCTATAACCATTGGCTTAAGAGTCAGGTACCTTATCTCTTGTGATTTTGTACCTCAATTAGTCGGAGCCAGTTCTCGGTTCACTTATGACATGGAACTTTGGGATCGTTACAACATAAAGGCTACTAGCAAAATACCCCCTCACCCAACTTTTCATTGTGATACAAATGAGTGTTTGTCAAATGGAAATTCACCAGCGTTGGTTTCGACCTGTCCAACCTGTGCACGGACCCGAGTTTGAAAGAAGGGTCTTCAGTCATAAAATATAGTAGTTTTTTAGGTCGAAATGTTATCAGACGAACAATCGTCTGAGCCAAGACAGAGGAATAGTACAGAAATTGAGTTTTCGTCTATTGCAAATGAAATTAATGACCGCTCGTTGGATGATGAAGATATGACAATTCAAAATATAAACCAATCCAAGCATCAAGATGATTTGAATTCTGGATCCAATCACTACGAAGAAACTTCAGAAGAAACAAACATGTCACCCCGGCTTCAGGGAAAAGTGTCCCCCGAGCTTAAATCGGATTCAACAGACCATCAAAATTGTGTCTCTATTATTCAGGCTCATGGCAGAGATATACTGCATGAAATAGATTCACCAACGAACTCTTCCGAAAAATCGGAAAGTCAGTCACAGTACATCGAAACGAAACCAGTAATACAACCAATTACATTGGAAGTACAAGTTAAGAATCCTATAGTTAGCCACGAAGTTCATGCTACTCAGCAGAAAGGCGACTCTGATGAAGTTCTTAATACCAGAGCACCAGACGAATCATTCGAAACGGCTGAAATACCCGTTGCACTAAAATTGAGCGCTACTAATTTCGACCAATTTAGTTCTGGGAGAGTTGAAAATAATGGTCATTTGGAAATCACTGAACACAAATTGCTTTCTACGCAAACTGAGATGATAAATGGCCCCGAAGTACCCGAAAATGGCTCCATTGAGCAGTTAAATAACGTCGACCATGAGACTGGAGAGGAATGTGCTGCAAACAGGGAAAGCGCGGAGAAAGGAATCAGCAATAATTCAGAAGTCAGCTGCAAACTTGAGAATAGTATCTCAGAATTCACAGAATCGATAGGATACGTCGCTGAAAACATTGATAGATTGATCCAAGAAAGTCAAAGCACTTCAGAAAGGTACAGATAATCCCTTTCAGATAATAAATATCAAGGTTTCAGATATATATAGTCATCTCAGCTTGTAGGTGACGTCCCATATAGTATACCTGCCATACATATTTACGTATTTCAAATCAGAATTTCTGTATTTCAAATCTTTTACGTATTTCGAAATCAGAGTGCGACTTATTGCAATTCAGAGTTCGACCGCAACGAAAATTTGTTTGGAAAACTCGCACTGAGGTACCTTAAGCGTTTGTTTGTAGATACTTGAGGTGGTCTTAGAAGGAGAAGTTTTCGCGTGGGGGGGGGGGGGGGCTCATCATTGGCTTTCTGAACTATGTGAGGGTGAATGTGCTCTAAAAGCGTTTTAAATTTCTGGTTTACAAAAACTCTAAGCTGGCTAAAAATCGTTTATGGGGTTGGACTCGTTTGCCCCACTGAAAATATGTTGGAAATCCTCTTTGTGGGTCTAATGTTTGGGCGTTATTTTTTTTGGGGGGGGGTAGGGGGATATCGAGTGAGGTAAAATGCGATGGGCTTCAACAACGTACGCTTTCAGAGTGAATTGAGATGCGAATAGTTAATGGTGCTTTCTCACATTAAGTAATTTGCACTCTGAGTGAAGTTGATCAATGTGGATCTATTAAGTGCGCTCGGTCACCATCCGAAAAACTGCATTTTTCACTGCTTGCAGTTTACTATCGGAAGTATCACTGAACGCATAGGTGCAGACTGGACAGGCGTGACCAATAATCGGTCTTGTTAGATTTGTTTAAGAACTTATCAGAGTCTCTTTCGACTGGCCCCATATTGGGTCCCACAGTACCTTCAGAACCGCATGGCTTTTCTTGCACATTGAATGCAGTGTTCGGAGAAATTAAGAGCTGGGACGAAAGAGACACCCAGATTTTAAGTTGCTTATGCACTGGTAAAAGCGAGACTCATTGTTACTTTGGGGTCAAGATTAAGTTCTTCATTGTGTGAAATGCTGAGACAGACTGATTATTTGGTGGAAGAATAATTAAGTAAAATACATCTAAAAGAATTTTTTACAACTCGACAAGTTCTTTTTTAAGTTTAGTAAAATCGTTTTTTATGTCGCGCGATAGGAAATCGGTTCAAGTCATCGGCGGAAGGCTGAAGATATACTTTTGGTTGGATTCGGGTGCATATTGATGTAGACAAGTCGTCTCTGAGTTGCGTCTTGGCGTGTCGGCAACTTAGATGCTCTGCTAGACACCTTGTAGAGATTCCGGGAAGACTAGTGACATGTAGCTTTTCCAATAGAGTATGGTGGCTGACCATGTCAATAGCTTCAGAAAGATATAGAGTACAGTCTTGGTAGGTACAGTCCTTTCAGGGAGTCGCTGTTTATTTAATCCATTGCTTAATAGATTGAGTAGACAAGCCTGTCTGTAGTTCGCGAGAGTAGGGGTCGTAAACCATGCCGATGAGCTGCTTTTCAGAGGAGTTTGGATAAAGTTGGATGAATTAATTTTTCCTAGATGGTATATCATTGGCTGCCTCGATGAGTAAAGTGGCTTATTTAAACTTGTTTAACAGTATTCTTCTGTTTTGCTGCTACACTTTGTCCAATTTTTGGACTCTCAGTTTACAAAAATTGCACGTAAAACGTTAAGTGAATGCACGTTTTCTGGCTATTGTTTGCTGGAAAGTGTGCAATTTCTCTTCTTTCTTTTTCACTCCTTCAAATTAGTCTGTGGAGGACTATTTGACCCATATTTTTGTGAGGGGAAATTTGACCCATGTTTTTGATTTTTTCGTTTTCTCGAAAACTACCCCTCTCAAATCTGAGTTTTTGGTTTCAATGAAAATAACTAATTTATAAAAGCTCCTTGCATATGCGGCCACGCCCAATTTTTTTACACATTAAGTTATGGCCATCGGAAATGTCAAATTTTTTGACTTTTCTCGAAAACTAACCTCTGAAATTTGATATTGTGGGTTCAGTGGAGATAACGGGCCTTTAGCGACCACTCAGAAACTTTTTTACACAAAAAGTTTTTTTCTCGGAAAAGTCAAATTTTTTGACGGGTTTTCAAAGTTTTTTGTTTTTCGCTGAGATTTTGGGTTCGATAGAAATTACAGATTGCGTCAAACCCTTCTGCATAAGCAGCCACGCTCTATTTTTATTCAAAACAGAACGCTATGATCCTCGGAAATGTCAAATTTTTGATTTGTTGACCGTCTTTTTAGACTTCTTTTGCGAACTATCCTGCCAATTTTTATATCATAAGCTGAAACGAAAGCGCTTGCTCTGGAAAGCCTATCTTGATAATTGGCTATGCCCCGATTTGGTTAAGAAAAAAGTTATGACCTCCAAACAAGTCTAAGCTTTGAACCTTTTTGACTTAACACGAATACTACCGGGCCAGTTCTCAGGTTTTTACCAATCGACAAACAGTTTAGGGAATTTTCTCTGCTCAAAGGGTCCCAAACTTCCTTTTGCAGATAAAAGTTATGGATTTTGGAAAGTCTTCTGAGCGTTTTCTAGAAGTTTTGCGTTTTCAAAAATTTTTTTGATTTTTCAAATTTTACTCCATCAAATCTGAGATGAAAAGTTCAATTGAAAAGACCGGTTGTGATAATTGTTCTTGCAGAAGCGGCGACTTCTTAATATTTTGTAAGACAACTTTTATCTATTTGGTAAAAATTGATAAGCCCATGGAGTGGAAGCCACTTAGTATTTAGTTGTTTTATAAATATTCGATGAAAAATAGCTGTTTTTTGGCAGCCATTTTTGTTTGAATTAAGATGCTCAGTTTGCTTTGCGGCTTCATGATGTGTTTTGAATCGTATCATTTCCTATTTTTTTCGAATATCAAACAGCCGTAATTCTATCTTTAAGTTAGCGGGTTTGAAATTTAGATCTGGGACCTTGTTTTTTTCAATGCGTAATAATTTTGATTTTTCTGGGAAATTTTGAAGTCCGACTATTTTTTGCTGTCGGCTTATTTTTTGTCAGCTCAATTTCCAATTTATGGGATTTTTTCTGATTCAAACTAGATTTGTTATAATTGAAAGTTGTTCTGTTTCGTGAAAGTTTACGAGCGATCACTTAAATTCTTTTTTGTTTGTTTTTTTTGCCTAAATTATATCAGCTTAGTCACCATATAATGAGTCGTTTCAAGAGTAACACTAAGTTTTTACGTTTAACGTAACAGCTCAATTTTTTTTGACAATTTTTTAATGGCCGAACCAAGTGATCTCTTATTTTATTGCTGTAGAAACTTGGGAGATTTTTACTCGCCCTAAATTTGAAAGTTTAAATGACTTCCGTTATAAATAAGAAGCACATAATGGCGTTTACGTAATGAATTACAATGACTTTTCAGGTTTCTTTGCGTTTTGTTTCCATTGGAGGGTTAGAACGAAACTCTTTTGTTGACGAACATTGAAATTTATTGTTATGACGCAAGCCTACCTATCAAAGGTAGTGACTTTTTTACGGTCATTGTTTCAAATTGGTTGTGGGTTTCCACAAGCAGTTAATCTTTCCACAAGGTTTGTCATGTTTTAGATCTTAAAATTGAATTAGAAAATGTCTATATAACCCAAAACTAACACTATTGGGTTGTCAAATCATCAAATCAGCACTCATTATTTAATTGATATGCCAGCTTACGTGGTCAATAAGTGTTTTTGTGTTTCAGTCATCCTTTGCCACAGAAGAAAGTGAGTTTAAAAAAGGTGGAAAAAGCGCTGATTGATCCACAATGTGTGAAAGATGTGAGCAAGTCATGTGAAAAAATCGTAGCTGCTGTTTTTGCGCTGCTTGAAGTTCTGCAGAAACAACTCCATGAAATGAGTGCTCTTACAATTGGCTACGTACAAGTTCACAGAGATATCGGGTTCAAGGTCACCGAAAGTGTGGACGACCTTCTACGTGCTCTTTTCTCGCTCATATCAAAAATAGAACAGATCGACTTGAAAATGACTCCGGTTTATGAACTCAGGGACCAGACTAAACGCCTAAGAACATCGTTAGAACAACTTGACAAATTGTTCTAATATGGAAGACCAGGCCTTATATCCAGCTAAATTATATCATGTTCCTTTCGCTGATCTATATAATTCTTATTTAATTAGATAGAAATTTCTTAGTTCTAAAATTTAGATGATAAACTGTCTATTTTGTAATACTGACCTAACTTGGTTCAAATGTTAATTTAGCGTTCATGAGCGATGTACTATTACAAAATTTTGATTCTGCATCCAGATTTGAAACCATAGGCTTCGTAAAAACTGCTGTTTTGTTTTGAATTTATGAATGGTAAGTCGACACTCTAGAAGCCCAGTTTTTTTCAGAATGATGATAGAAAATGGTTTTTGAGGAGTCTGGAACTATCCAAATTGGATATACAACACTCGCCTCATAGCCATGATTGGGAAGCTAAAGAAAATAGTCGGTGAGTCGGAAATTGTCACGAAGTTTGTTTTTGATAGAGGAGTAGACTGAAGTGCTGAGCTGATTTTGTGCCCAAACTAATTTTGGAAAACTGAAATTAGCTTCACTCTTGCAAATATTCAATTTTAAAAATCCAATTCGTCAAACATTTAAACCGCAAATATTCAATTTTAAAAATCCAATTCGTCAAACATTTAAACCAATCGAAGAGCAAGAAGAATTATTTGAATCAAATCATAGATAAGCAAAGAACAAACAAGGATCAATTGAAAGACCGCCTACTTCCCTGTGAGCTTTCATACTCCTGTAGCGTCTTTTTTACTTGATATTCCTCTGTCTACGTTCTTCGAAAAAGTCTGTGGAGCACTATTTGACCCATATTTTTGTGGGGGTAAATTTGACCCATGTTTTTGATTTTTTCGTTTTCTTGAAAACTACCCCTCTCAAATCTGAGTTTCTGGTTTTAATGAATATAACTAATTTATAAAAGTTCCTTGCATATGCGGCCACGCCCAATTTTTTTACACATCAAGTTATGGCCATCGGAAATGTCAAATTTTTGGCTTTTCTCGAAAACTAACCTCTGAAATTTGCTATTGTGGGTTCAGTGGAGATAACGGGCAGCGAGAAGGTCCCTTTAGCGGCCACTCAGAAAGTTTTTTTTACAGAAAGTTATTTTTCTCGGAAAAGTCAAATTTTAGATTTTTTGACCGTTTTAAAAATGTTTTGAAAACTTCCCTGCCATATTTGAAATTTGGCTTCAATTCAAAGAACGGGTTGTGGGAAACTCATTTGTTCCTGCGACTAAGCCCAAATTTTTCTGACACCAAATTTGTGGCTCTCGGAAAAGTCAAATTTTAGATTTTTTGACGGGTTTTCAAAGTTTTTCGTTTTTCGCAACTACCCTCCCAAATCTGAGATTTTGGGTTCAATCGAAATTAAAGATTGCGTGAATCCCTTCTGCATAAGCAGCCACGCTCTATTGTTGTTCAAAACAACGCTATGATCCTTGGAAATGTCAATCTTTTGATTTGTTGACCGTTTTTTTTTAGACTTTTCTTGCTAACTATCCTGCCAATTTTGATATCATAAGCTGAAACGAAAGAGCATGTTCTGGAAAGCCTACCTTGATAATTGGCTATGCCCCGATTTGGTTAAGAAAAAAGTTATGACCTCCAAACAAGTCTAAGTTTTGAAACTTTTTGACTCAACGCGAATACTACCGGGCCAGTTCTCAGGTTTTTACCAATCGACAAACAGTTTAGGGATTTTTCACTGCTCAAAGGGCCCCAAACTTCCTTTTGCAGATAAAAGTTATGGGTTTTGGAAAGTCTTCTGAGCGTTTTCTAGAAGTTTTGCGTTTTTAAGAAACTTTTTGATTGTTCTCGAAAGCAAACCATAATTTTGAGACTTAATCTGAAAAAAAATATTCGATGAAAAATAGCTACTTTATGGCAGCCATTTTTGTTTCAATAAAGATGCTCAGTTTGCTTTGCGGCTTCATGATGTGTTTTTAATCGTATCATTTCATTTTTTTCGAACATCAAGCAGCCGTAATTCTATCTTAAAGTTAGCGGGTTTGAAATCATTCGTAATGCTGATGTGCTACTGAAATGCTTAATTTCTTAAAAATTCTAATTTAACTACTGGCTACTAGTAACTACTGATAAATGCTATATCTATAATTTTTTAGTTTTGATATAAATCTGTTGCTGATGATTTTTGGGTTTCATGGTTGTCGCTCTGAAGTTAACGAGTAATTTATACCACGTTGCGTACATAACAAATCAACCATTCTTGGATCTTATGTGGGCAGTTCTTGCAAGTTCAATAAGATTTTGCCGAAAGATTTCGAATGATTTTCAGGTTTTTGGCTGTCGGCTTATTTACCCAATTTTTTTCGTGTAATATTTTTGAGATCTAGAAGACTCTGGAATCAAATTTTCAAATGTTCAATATCAACCCTCACTTGACTTCTAATTATTGAAAATCAACTTGAATGAAATTAAACACGTACATTTTTTTGGTTTTTTTTTCTCTTACGTTTTTTAGTTTTTCTAGTTTCTTCTTCAATGTTAACGTCGATCGAAGCCTTTTTGTCTATTTCTTGAGCGTCACGATGTTTTCATTCTATGCTTGTTGAATCGAGAGTTTCTTTTTTGTATTCGTTTTGGCTTAAATGGGTTGTGCTTATGTTACTTTGACTTTTCTATATTTTGAGCTGTTGGAAGGGAAAATAGATTGTTATACTTAACAGCTCGAATTTGTCGTTTTTTTGGCTCAAGAGTCGTCTGCCCAAATATTGTGAGCTTAGATGCCACTCAATAAATGATTTTGATTGCTTATTCAACGGTGGTGATGGGTTTTTAATCCGATTTCAAAATAATTTCTTCGCATTAGTGATTTCCTTCTAATTTTCTGTCTGCTAGCTTACATTGCTTAGTTTGTGCTGTATCCGAAGTGTTGCGAAGAACCGCATATCCTTCGTGTTACATTTCGGACAATATTTTTCTTTGCGTTGGCATTCTTGTTTTTTTTTCAAAGGAACCGATGGGGATGGAGTGGGTGGAGGTGCACTTGCGGGTATCCCATCGGGCGTGAAGGTCATGGGCGCACATCTGCAGAGGAAGTTCGCCCGGGGAGTTCAGTACAACATGAAGGTCATCATCAAAGGAGAACGCAATACTGGAAAGAGCACTTTACTGTATAGGTTGCAGGGATACAAGTTCGTGTCAGACTACAACCAAACTGAGGAGATTCAAGTGGCTGTTATACATTGGACAGCTGCCACTAGTGCAACTGAAGTTGTCAAGGTCAGTCTGCAATACTTTGACTCATTAGTCTCGAGTATTTAAGTTGAAATCTGGAGATACTCGCAGTAGAAGTATAAGAACCTAAAGTATTTAGTACAAAACTGGAGCTCTTCATGAAGATCTGAAAAGATTCTGTTTTTGTCTCTTGCTACCTTTTTCTTGAGTGGAAATTTTCTTAACCAAAAAAAATTGCTAAGATTTCAAAAGTATCTTACAATCAGAAAATAAACTTATTCAGGATCTGTTCCTATAAACAACTTTGTTTTCTGCTCATAAGTGCGACCTATTGAAACATAGTAGTTTTATGTCCTAAAATTTTAGCGATGTAAAAATGCCATTTTAGGTTTTTTTAAATAATCAACTGCTTCGGTTTCATATACATACTCGCTTTAGTAGTATATTGGTCACAAATGCGCCTTTAGAATCAGTTAAGGGTTGGACGGCCAAAAGTGTTGTAAAATGGGAACAAAAGGGCAGTTCGGGGTAATGAAGAGAAGATTTCTTGAAGGGCGTTCTCCTAACTCCTTATCTGAAGCACATTGATGCCCCAAATCTGGTCATTTAGCAAAAAGTAGAAGATCAGAAAATAGGCAAATACTTGATTAACCAATCAGAATCGAGATAAGAAACCAAACTTAATAATTAATTTTTTCTTGCGTGCATTGGTTTCACTTATCTCGATGGATTGGTCAATACTTTTATTTGTCTAGTTTTTGACAAGTATGAAATAAAGTTTGCCTATTTTTGACTACGCTGACACAGTTTTCGCGTGTGTTGTTATCATCTCGTACAAGGTTATACCCGTACAATTTATCTATTATTGAACCTTTTTTCCGCAACATTTTGTCCGAGGAAGCAAACCAATTACAGGGCAATTCGTTCTTTTTTGGTCCCCAGCAGTTGAAAAATTCTATCATTGAGTGCCTTCTTGGTATTGAGGAACTAGTGTCTGAATACTTGCCTCAGTTTCACACTTTTGGTCAAAATGGGTCTAGGACAACAAGTCTACGGGACTTCTGGCCGAAATTTGAACCTCAGTACTTCGAACGCTCATTTTTCATCTGTTTAATGTTATTTTTCAAAAATTGGGCAAGTTAGTCGATTATAAGTTTTATTCAGGATACTGCATCTCTTGGAAATAACATCCGTTTGTTAAATCAATCGGTACTTGAAAGGCATAAATTTTACACGCGAAATCCCTTTCATCAATGCGAAAATCCCTAAATTTCAGTTTAAGGCTCAAAATTGATTAAAAAACCAATAACTGCAAAAAAAAGATCGTAAAATTAATCGCATTTTGTGGCTTCATGAAAATGTTTGACTGAAATCTTGTCGGCTTCATGTCCGGCACACGGTCAAAATTTGACAACTATTGCGGTAATTGTTTGATTATGGAAGAATTAAATTAGCAGCATTGCTCAAAATTCTGTTTTATAAACATTGTCCAATTTGCTTGTCTAATTCCTAGGGGTTTAGGAAATTAGACAAGCCAACTAGACGATCCGAAGGTCTGAATTTAGACGGTAACTTTTAGCTGAGTAAACACTGAGTAAACACCGCTGTCCAATCGCAATTCAGGTTATCAATGTCACAGTTGTATAATTAATACATTGCAAAAATGTGCTTAACTTTTTCGATTAAACGTTTTGATTATACAAGTAAAGCGTAGTGTATTATAACGAAGATGTTTTTTTCTATCCTAAGTCGCAAATAAAAGTGCTCATCTGGTGGCGTTTTTGTTATATTTCAATTTAATCATAATTAAGCGTATTTAAGCATAGGCAATATAATAGCATGTGTTGTTGCGTTGTTTTTGGCTAGTGTTTGTTAGGTCCTGTTTGAAAAACAGATATAATGAAAATGTATGGGATTTTTTGCTATTAATTTTTGCGACGCTTTTAAAAAGTTAATTCTCAGTGTTTGCGACGAGAATTTCAGCGTTAATTCTCAGCGTTTGTGACGTAAAAATTTAATTCTCAGCGTTTGCGACGCTTTCAAAAAGTTAATTCTCAGAGTTATCATCTAAATTCAGTTATTTTACAATCGTCTGATTTGCTTGTCGTCTAATTATCCAGGCCTCGAAAATGTATCAGAAAAAGGACAAAAATATAACATGACAAAAATATGAAATATAAAAAGAGTATTAACTTTCAGCATCTTGACCTAAGTGATTGGGCATTCTAGCTATTTGCGCTGGCACTGAGTACGCACACTCAGGTACCACAAATAATCAATGGATTGGGTCGAGTGATGCATCTTATTAAACCCCTTTAGTTCGTGATTTGAACTACAAAAAACAGTTCAACAGGTTATCCCATCTTATATATTAACTGAAAGCCTTAATGCGCTATGGACGCAACGTTTTAAATTTTTTTTATCGAGCACAACGCTTAAAAATTATTCAGAGGAAGATGAACTCGATCCATCTTCAAGGCTAGACAGTACCAGCCTAATTTTTGTCCAAAATTTTGTGTTTACAGATTCATTTCAGTCTGAAACGAATCCACTAAAAATGGCAACTTCCATGCTAAGAATGAATTTTTTGCGAACCGATTCGGTCCATGAAATAAACAGAAATATTTCAGCGTTTCATAGCATGAAAACAAGCTTGCTTAGAAAAACTGAAACTTTTCGCGAGCCGATTCAGCCCACGGAATAACTTGAAAAATTTCAAAGATTCATAGCTTGAATAGCTTGCTTAGAAAAACTTGAATTTTTGCGAAGAAAATCAGTCATGAATTATCTTGAAAATGTTTCAAAGTTTAATGGCTTATGTAACTTACTAAGAACTTACTGAGTCGCTCTTTGAAACAACGTGAATTTGTTCAAAGTTTTAGTGCTTTAAAAGCTTGCCTAGAAAAAATTTACTTTTTTCGCGAATTGATTTCCATGCTAAGAAAGAAACTTTTTTTTTGAACCCAATTGGTCCATAAAATAAACTGAAATATTTCAACGTTTAATAGCCTAAATAGCTTGCTCAAGAAAACAAATACATTGTGCGAACTGTTTCAGTCTATGCAATAGCTTGAAATAACATAAAATTTCATAGCTTCAAAAGCTTGCTTAAAAATTTTAAAAACTTTTCGCGAACAAATTTTATTCACAAAATACAGTCTGAAACGAATCCGCTAAAAATGGCAACTTCCATGCTAAGAATGAATTTTTTGCGAACCGATTCGGTCCATGAAATAAACAGAAATATTTCAGCGTTTCATAGCATGAAAACAAGCTTGCTTAGAAAAACTGAAACTTTTCGCGAGCCGATTCAGCCCACGGAATAACTTGAATTTTTGCGAAGAAAATCAGTCATGAATTATCTTGAAAATGTTTCAAAGTTTAATGGCTTATGTAACTTACTAAGAACTTACTGAGTCGCTCTTTGAAACAACGTGAATTTGTTCAAAGTTTTAGTGCTTTAAAAGCTTGCCTAGAAAAAATTTACTTTTTTCGCGAATTGATTTCCATGCTAAGAAAGAAACTTTTTTTTGAACCCAATTGGTCCATAAAATAAACTGAAATATTTCAACGTTTAATAGCCTAAATAGCTTGCTCAAGAAAACTAATACATTGTGCGAACTGTTTCAGTCTATGCAATAGCTTGAAATAACATAAAATTTCATAGCTTCAAAAGCTTGCTTAAAAATTTTAAAAACTTTTCGCGAACAAATTTTATTCACAAAATACAGTCTGAAACGAATCCGCTAAAAATGGCAACTTCCATGCTAAGAATGAATTTTTTGCGAACCGATTCGGTCCATGAAATAAACTGAAATATTTCAGCGTTTCATAGCATGAAAACAAGCTTGCTTAGAAAAACTGCAACTTTTCGCGAGCCGATTCAGCCCACGGAATAACTTGAAAAATTTCAAAGATTCATAGCTTGAATAGCTTGCTTAGAAAAACTTGAATTTTTGCGAAGAAAATCAGTCATGAATTATCTTGAAAATGTTTCAAAGTTTAATGGCTTATGTAACTTACTAAGAACTTACTGAGTCGCTCTTTGAAACAACGTGAATTTGTTCAAAGTTTTAGTGCTTTAAAAGCTTGCCTAGAAAAAATTTACTTTTTTCGCGAATTGATTTCCATGCTAAGAAAGAAACTTTTTTTTGAACCCAATTGCTCCATAAAATAAACTGAAATATTTCAACGTTTAATAGCCTAAATAGCTTGCTCAAGAAAACTAATACTTTGTGCGAACTGTTTCAGTCTATGCAATAGCTTGAAATAACATAAAATTTCATAGCTTCAAAAGCTTGCTTAAAAATTTTAAAAACTTTTCGCGAACAAATTTTATTCACAAAATACAGTCTGAAACGAATCCGCTAAAAATGGCAACTTCCATGCTAAGAATGAATTTTTTGCGAACCGATTCGGTCCATGAAATAAACTGAAATATTTCAGCGTTTCATAGCATGAAAACAAGCTTGCTTAGAAAAACTGAAACTTTTCGCGAGCCGATTCAGCCCACGGAATAACTTGAAAAATTTCAAAGATTCATAGCTTGAATAGCTTGCTTAGAAAAACTTGAATTTTTGCGAAGAAAATCAGTCATGAATTATCTTGAAAATGTTTCAAAGTTTAATGGCTTATGTAACTTACTAAGAACTTACTGAGTCGCTCTTTGAAACAACGTGAATTTGTTCAAAGTTTTAGTGCTTTAAAAGCTTGCCTAGAAAAAATTTACTTTTTTCGCGAATTGATTTCCATGCTAAGAAAGAAACTTTTTTTTGAACCCAATTGGTCCATAGAATAAACTGAAATATTTCAACGTTTAATAGCCTAAATAGCTTGCTTAAAAAAACTGATACATTGTGCGAACTGTTTCAGTCTATGCAATAGCTTGAAATAACATAAAATTTCATAGCTTTAAAAGCTTGCTTACAAATTTTTAAAACTTTCCGCGAACAAGTTTAATCCACAAAATACCATGAAATATTTCAGAGTTTCAAAGCTTGAATAGCTTGCTTAGAAAAACTTGCATATTGCGCGAATCGTTTCAGTCTATGCAATAGCTTGAAATAATATAAATTTTCATAGCTTTTAAAGCTTGCTCAGATAATTTTAACACTTTTCGCGAACCGATTTAATCCACATTGAAACTTTTCCAACTCGATGTTTCATAGCATGAAAAGTTTCATAGCATCAATAGCTTGCTTAGAAATTTTGAAGCTTTTGGTGAACTGATTTAGTCTATGAAATAACTTGAAACTTTTCAAATTTTCGTAGCTTTAAAAGCTTGCTTAGAATAATTTAAAATGCTCTCAAACCTATTCTGTCTTTGAATTATTTTGGAAAGTTTTCAAAGTTGTGTAGCTTGATTAGATTTTTTTTCGTGAACCGATTCATTTCATCAAAAATCATAAAATATGTCAAAGTTTCATAGCTAAAATAGTTTTCATAGAAACACTTATTCATTTCGCCATCCGATTCGCTTCATGAAATGAGTTGAAATATTTCAATGTTTCATAGCTTAAATAGCTTGCTTTGGAAGACTTCAACTGTTGGCAAAACGATTCGATCTATGAAACAGCTTGGATTTTTTAGAAAAACTAATTTCTAAGAACGAACTCGAACAAAAAACAATTTTTCATAGCTACAATAGCTTGGTTAAGTAAAACTTCAATTTTTTTTGAACTGCCTTGCTCTATGAAACATTTTACTCCAAAGTTTCATCGCGCGTGTAGTTTGCTTAGAAAACTTAAATTATGCAAAATATTTCGGTCTAAAGAAATCGAATTATTTCAATTGCTTATAGCTTCAATAACTTGCTGCAGTAAAATGTTAGTGTTTTTGCTATTCGATTAACTTCATGAAATAATTTGAATTACTTTGAAGTTGAATAACTTGAATTATTTTGAATTTCATAAGCTAAATAGCCGCTAAAAAACCTATTTTTTGCCAATTATTTGGCTCCTTGCGATGATTTGAAAAATTTTCAAAAGTTGCCTTGCTTGAATACCATAGGAAATTCATTTTTCGCAAAATGATTCGATATAAGAAACAATTTGAAATTTTTTCAAAGTTTCATGGCTTTAATAACTTGCATAGAAAAACTTGTTTTTCTGCGAAATGATTCGGTTCATAAAATAACTTGAAACATTTCAGTTTCATAGCTGGATTAGCTTGAAAAACGTTAACTTTTCAAAAACTAAATAGTTCTTTGAAATAAGTCGAAGTTTTTCATTGGTTGAATGAATTCAAAAGAAAAAACCTCTTTTTTTTGCTATCCGATTTTTTGCATAAAAACTTAGAAAAACTTGAAACAATTCAAATTTTGATAGCTTGCTTAGAAACACTTAATATTGTTCAAGATGGAAACAGTCGATGAAATAGCTTGAAATGTTTCATAGCCTGAATAGTTTGCTTAAAAAACTTAATCTTGTTCAAGATAAAAACAGTCGATGAAAAAGCTTGCATTTTTTCATAGCTTGAATAGCTTGCTCAAGAAAACATAAGCTTTGGTCGAACTGATTCGTTCTAAGAAATAAGTTGAAGCCTTTCAAAGCTTAAGCCAAATAGCTAGCCCAGCAATACTTGTTTTTTTTTGTTGCTAATCACTTTGATCTATGAAATCTATTAAACTTGTCTTAGTTCCATCGCTTGATTGGCTCCAAAAGAAAAACGTGAAGTTAACTTCAGATTCATAGCTTGAATAGCTTGCTTAGAAAATTTGGAAATTTTCTAATTTAGTCTGTGGAAGTACTTGAAACATTTCAAGGTTTTTTTGTTTGAATGGTGCTATAAGTAAAATTCACTTCTTTGCTATTCGATTGCTTTTATAAGATAACTTGAAAAAAAGTTCAGAACTTGAATAGCTTAAGAAAACGTTTTGCTCACTGATTGCTCTATTAAACAATCTTTAAGTTTTCCTTGCTTGAATAGCTTGCATGGAAAACTTCAGTTCTTTTCAAATTGATTAGCTCTAACAAACAAATTGAATTGTTTCACTCTCATAGCTTGCTTAGACAAATTTTAATTTTTTGCAAAGCGATTCAGTCTATAAAATTTTAGTTTAATTAAAAGTTCGACTTTTCGCGGATCGATTCGTTCTAAGAAATAATTTGAAACTATTCAAATTTTCGTCGCTTAAATGGTTTTTTAATATAAAGTTATTTTTTGCCATCCAATTTGTTTTATTGCAAAGTTTCTTAGCTTAAAAAGCTTGCTTAGAAAATTAAAATGTTTCGTCGGCTGAATGGCTGCAATAGAAAAAACTGCTATTTTTTGCTATCCGATACACTTTGTGAAATAACTAAAATTATTCAGATTTGTCACTTGAATGGCCCAAATAGAAAACTTCAAATTTTCGACACTCAATTCACTTACTGAAAAACTACAAAAGTTCATTTTTTTTGCCCCCCGATTTTCTCCATAAAAACGTTGAAAACTTTCAAAATTTTCGCTCAATAGCTCGCGTAGAAAAACTTGAGTCTGTTGCAATCCTGTTTTCTCTGTGGAACGTTTTAAATAGCTTACTATGAGAAACCTAACTTTTCGCCGACTTATTCGCTCTATAAAAACAACTTGAAGTATTTCAATGTTTCATCGCTTGAGTAGCTTCCTTAGAAAAACAAACTTTAGCCATCCGAGTTGCTTCATAGAACATTTTGAAATTATTCAAAGTCTCATAGCTTGACTAGCTTGCTTAAAAAACTTTATTTTTTCGGGAACCGATTCGTTCTATGAAGCCTTAAATTTTTCAAACCGATACGATATGGCTTAACCTGAAATTATTCAAAGTTTCATTATTTGAATAGCTTGATCAGAACAACAACTAATTTTTTGCGAGCAAATTGATTATTGGAGGCAGGCTTGCTAGTTATTGAGAAAAACCTATTATAAAAATTTTGATTTTCAGTTTTAATTCGATCGAATGATGCGAGTGAGCAGGCTTACAATAGCTCATTTCAATAGCGTTTTAGCTAACAATAGCTTTTTTTTAAGCCGTGAAAACCTAATCGTAAGTTTAATCGAGTTATGACAGATTTTTGAGTGAGTTTATAAGCGACTTTTTGGAATCAAAAACTTCAAAAGTAAAAAAAAAAACGTTTTTTTTCGATTTTTTTTGCTTTTTTAGTCATCTTTCCAGAAAAATTGTTGTCCAATGCGCTCATTTTACTATGACTGTCGATTATCTCTATGCTTTATTTTTTCGTTCAGATTTTCACAGCGAAAACGACACTAATTTGAAAAAAAAATTGTATCTTTTAAGACTCTGGTCAAAACATCGTGCTACGTGCACCGTATCCGACTATCCTGTTTGATTAGGTAGATGTCTGGGACATAGTTGACAAAGGAAAGTGTCGTAGAAAGAATGGAGGGCTCAAATTGTCAAATGATCCATCGGGCGACGACAAACCGAAGCCCAACCAGCACATGGAAGCCTGTCTCGATGCTGATTTCCTAGATGTATACCAAGGAACACACGCTGTCATTTTTGTATTCGATATCTGCAAACAGTGGACTTACGATTACGTCATCAAAAACTTACCTCTAGTTCCCCACGAGATCCCAGTTTTAGTCATGGCCAATTTCATGGACAACCAAGAAAACAGAGTGGTAGGGGAGCCCACTGGCATGAAACGTATGCTGAAAAGTGCGGCCAATAGACCACTCATTGCTGCTCCAGTTGTGGTCATAGAAAGTTCTCTCAAAGACGGTTTTGGTCTCAAAATGGTTCACCAGTTCTTCAATTTGCCTTTCTTGTCGCTACAGCGCAAATCGCTCAACCAGATGCTGGAGACTAATAAACAGAACCAGTTGAAAATTAACGATTTCTTCCGAGGTCTGGACGATACAGGAAACAAGGAAGTGGATTACGGGGTGTTTTTGGAAAAGGTTGAGGAACGGCGCACTAAGACAGCTTCTCTTTCGCTTTCATCTCCTGATAAAGGAGTTTCCCCTTCTCACAGTGCAATTTTCAACAACGCATCATCTGCCAACGTCAGTCCCTCCAAGCACTCGGCTGTAACTGATTCCCAGAAGCAGCCAGGAACTAGCGAAGGCATCGGTTCTAAACTGACAAGAATGTTCAGCAAGCGGCAGAAAAGTGCGCCAATCGGTTCGAAAGATGCAAGTGCTAATCAACCTGAGAATTTGGACAATTTTTTGAGTGGGAATCAAGGAGCAGATGGTGAGAAAGGTGGAACTAAAAAACGAGATCCGGAGAATTCAGATGATAATGAAAACGAGAACCCGATGGTTGATGGTTTCTTCGAAGATTTCGCGAGCGACGAAAACCCGTGCTTTGAAGTACCTGATAAGGAACTGGTTAAAGAGACCAAAAAGTCGAAGAGTGTCAAAGCAAGAAAAATTTCTTCAAGCAGTGAAGAAGAAGAAGTGGAAAAGCCTCAAACAACACAGCAAGACCTGTTCGCTCCTATGCCAGATATTATAACGGATGATCTGGATCCGTTCCAAAATAATCAAGACAATGATTTTGAACTGATGTTTGTGACTGATGCCTCACCTGAGCACACAAAGCCTAAACAAAACAAAGTACCAAAACCCCGAAAAATTTCAACTGGTTCAGAAGCAAGCGATGAAGAGCAGCAGTACGAGCCACAGATAGTCGAAAAGAAGACACGCAGTAAGAAGCAAACAAATGTGAAGGGATCCAAAAAGACTTCAAAGAAGGAAGCCAAGACAGTCTCAGGGAAGAAAACTAAGTTAATATCGGATGATAGCAGTGACGATGAGGGGGTTGAAGGGAAAGGTGGCAGAGGAAATATGTCGTCGACTACCACTTCGGAGGGTGGCGAGGTTCTCTCGGACGACAGCAGTCAGTATAGTCTCCCATCTGACGACCCAGAGGGCGATGACAACTTTAAGCAGTACATTCGCAACCAGGGTAAGTTGAGTATGGTATCGTACAATGGCTTTCATTTGAAAAGAACACTATAAATGTCATGGTTTTGACGGTGAAAGTGAGGGTGCAAGAAACCAATTCGGTGCAAGACGCTGCAAGAAGAAACCAATTTCGAAGATAAGAAGATACTTGCCAATTTAATTGGCATTGTAGCTCAGTATGATAGCTCATAGCGATTCGAAAATGCATAAGTGCTGCAATTTGCAAGGTGAGTTCTTGTATATAATCCATAGCTTAAATCGCTAAATTCCAATTTAGGACTCAGAATGAAAATAAGGTCATGTTAATCTAACTTTGCAAAAGCAGACTTTATAATTTTAAATTTCAGCGAATTTCAGTTTTTATTTCAGCGAAACCTAACATACAGCAGCTGAACGAAGTCAGTGCGGTTATGTCGAAGGCAGCTTCCAAATTGCCTGCGCGCAGAAGACAGAAAAAGAGCTCAGAAAGGGTGCTGATGTCAGACACAGACTCGTCAGGCACTGACAACGAAAAGGGCAACCTTGATGAAAAGACAGAAAAAGGCGGGAAGAAGTCAAAACAACAAGTGCACAGTTTTAAAAATGGTAGAGATAAAATTCCAGATTGCCATAGTAAGAATAGGTCCTCAATTAATGATCAGTTACTTGAGCGAGATGATGATGATGATGATGACGATGATGAAGATTCGAAAGTGAATCCTCTTGTTAATACTAACTATGAAGAAAATGATCTAGATGTTTTCTTCGCGCACAATAATAAAGATGTACAGCCAAATGAAGCGCTGGAAGAAATGCCAGATGTAGATTACTTGCCAGTAGGGTCACAAGAAAAACCGAACAAAGCGAATCATGTAGTCACACCCCAAAATACAGTTAAAATACTCGATGGAACAGAACAAGAAGATGTAGACAATTCGTTAGCCTCGCCCACGCTGAACTTAATGTTGAACTCAGGTGAACTTGACTTCTTAGAAACAGTTGCAGTAAATACGAAGCCTAAAAAAGAGCCAACTGACAAGAAGAAGAAAACTAAGAAGCAGCAAGATAATGATGCAGATGAACCGAAGAAGAGTAAAGCTGGTTCTAAAAATAAAGACGGCAAAAACCAGAGGAAAACATCAAAATCAGCTAAATCTGGAAAAGGGTTAGCGGTTTTGCTCGACTTTGAGGAACCGTCTTTGGAAAACAATGAAGAACCTTTGGTTGCTGACTTTGAAAAATCAGACGAGTTAGAGGCTACTGAAAAAAAGAAAGGTAAAAGTAAAAAGAAGGTCGACAAAGGGGTAAACGGGGAAAAGAAAACAAAGAAGAAGGCGAAAAAAGAAAGGCCGAAAGATGGAAGCAGCTCAGAAGCGAATCAGGGGAGTCCGCAAAACAACCCGACTATCCAGTTCCAAAATGATGGCTACGAGAGTCTATAACAGTAAAAGATATGTCAGAATCAGTTGAAAGTATTCTTCTTGTCAGTAACAGACCAGAAAATGACACTAGTTTAGGTGAAACTTAATTGTAGGTTTACTTAAGAAACTTATGCCATCGTGCTGAAATGTAGAATGTACTTTTCTCACTACTCTGGTCTGGTATAAATAGATTGATATATGAGGGTGATTTTCATATGTTCGTTTGTTTGGTTTCGTGTCACAATCTGTTTGTTTGTTTTGGCTTGGGTTTCTATTGTAAATCTAATGTTCTCATTCCAGAGTCACTCATGTGTTGAGCATAGAACTGGTGTTTTAGAAGGCCATCTTTTTACTGACTTGGTTCCTGGTAATAAAAGGTAATTGTGTCTAAATTAGATTGTTCTACGGTGGCATATAAATGGGCCGAAATCAACACAAGCTGTTACCCAATATTTATGCAAAATGGGCCTTTCGCCCAAATTTTTTAATTTTGCGATTTTTAAATTTTCAATGTTTAAATGAAGAGAACAATGATTACAGTGATTGGTTTGGTTAATGGAAATATGATCACTTTATTCTTTAGCCGATTTCCACTTTATTCTTGAGCTGATTTCCAACAAATGTCAAAATTTTCTGGAATCATTTTTTCTGGAGTTAATTTCTGTTTTTTTTACTGGTCTGGGATTTTAGTAGTTTACCAAACAATCTATATGTTTGGCTAATTCGGCTTGTTTATAAATCGCTTTAAAACTGTGAACAAAAAATTTAGAGATGTTGCTGAAATATTGATTTCTGGGCGAATAGATTTAAAATCTGTTAATTTTCTGCTTGTTATAGTTCGGCTGATTTTGCTACCCTCGATTGTCTCTTTCTCCTTTTCCAACACTTGCGATTTTTTACTTGTAAATTTTTGTTTCATAATGTTGATAGAAGTTCGCATACTTTATAATCAGCCTATTGCAATCAAATTTGTTGTTTATACCCAACCGTGTAGAAAGCCTAGTTGAACCATGAAATTGATGTTTATGTGAATGTGGAGGAGATGGAGACAGAGCTTCCCGTCTCCAAGTAAGCTCAACTCATCCCTAGTGTAATGAAACAATATATGGTATAGTAGTAGTGCAACTGTGGGACTGTGTACTTGCATACGTGCCGTTAAGCCTGCGGCTGTTAGCCTGATTAGATTTGAGTTTGTTTTCTCTCGTTTGCAACTAAAACTCGCATCAGACTAAGTAATTATTTAAACTCCGATGCGGAACGGCTGCAAGTCGCTACACCCCCGTGAAACTGCGTATTGTAATCTGCAGCAGATAAAATGTACATTTAAGGTCAAATTTCGCCATTGCTTGTAGTAAACTGCATTGTATATTCAACACGTTCCAATATCCGCAATCCTATTGCCACTTCCATAGTTTCAGTATAATCCAGCGCTGCGTATCGTACTGAAAATATATATTTAGTGTATTTTGATGCATTCTTTCGAACTCTATATTTAAAATTGTAGATAGTTCTATATAATTTAAATTCGGAATCTAGTTTTTAAGTCAACGGAGTGCATAACAACCGCCAAAATAGTACATGATTCTTGGGCCAAGCCTAGTCAAGCAGCGGTGTGATGTAATACAGGCGCGGATCTAGGAGTTTTGCTAGGGGATATTTTCCATTTTCCCCCCAAAAAATACGTCGAATTATTTTGGGACAAAAAAGATTGATTTCCCGTAATTTTAAGCTAACATCTTACAGCATGACATTTTCCCCTTATCGTATTACGAAACTTATTTTTCTCTTATCATGTTCGTAGGCTAATTAAAAGTTAGGTGAATTTATATTTCTCAGAAAGTTCTAAAAATGGGTTCCCAAGCGTATCACCCCGTGTTTTTTAACCCCCTCTTATATCACCCCGAAATTAGATAAACCCATCACAATTTAACCCCTTTTTAATACCAATTGTTAGAATCAAAGTAAAACTTACTTGAAAGGGATTCGGAACCATATCGTCGGTAAACATCAAAGCTTTAATTGCGAAAAATATTGCGAACCACATGAATTGACATGCACGCTGCTAAATGCGTTTTAGATTTGAACAGAAATGTGTTTTAGATTTATAAGACTCAAACGTTTTTTGTTGCCTTCAATTAGCACCATGTAGGTTATCTCTGTTTTAAACGCGTGAATGAGGGATTATTTCTTAAGCTAATCGAAATGCAATTATTTTTGAGCGGCAAATCCATGAAGTGAATAAATAATGTCTTCTCTGGCCTCAATTAGTACACCTAATTGGAATACTACTATGAGTGTAAAAGGACTTAATAAAAGGAGTTAATTTGAAACAAATTATCGTCATTAAAAGGAGGTTAAATTGTTGTAGGTTATCTTGTTACGGGGTTTTAAAGTAGGGAGTGTAAACATAGGGGGTTAAAGAGTGGGGCACCCTAAAAATGGGATTACGATGTAATTTTCTGCAATAACTAATGTTCTTCAAATTCTCGAGGAAAGTGTAATACGGGCAGTCTGCTATTTTTTCCAACCAAAACTTAGTGCAGTTTTTTTTTCAAATAATCGAAATAAAAGTTTTATATACCTTTCTGATACTTCTAAAACTGCTACAGAAAGTGTCCTTGTAATAGTTAGAACATAGTTGAAAGATGACCGAGGAAAAATGAGCCCGGCCTGACGACACGAAGTGCCCGAGTGCGACTCTTTTGCCCGAGGCCAACTTCAACTATGTTCTAACTGTTGAAGGGTATGTTTTTACTCTTTCTGAGGGAAAGATGCCAGAAAATTGTGAAAGAGCCCGGAAAATTGTGAAGGCGCCCGCAAAAGTGCGCGAAACTATGCAAATGATTTCTTTTTTCATTCATGCGTTCTAATATTTCATTTTTCATTCATGCCTTGTCGTGAAAGAACATGTGTAAAAGAGCAAAAACATACTGTTCTTGAAGACATCCATGCCCTAAATGGAGAAGAATTTCAATATGCAGTGATTAAGAGTCATGAACATAGTGAATACTCTTAAATAGGTCTTGGAGATAGTTTTTGTTTGTTTTTTTTCGCGAAATTTTTTATCACGGGTAAATTTACTGTTTTGATTTTTAAGTTCGCTTAATTTCCTATGATAAAAGGAGGTCAAACTCCACTATCGAACAGCAACAGTATAGATGTCTCGAAAAACGTGATAGCTATATATTTTCAAAAGTGGATTTTAATTTTCAGATTTTGCAGCGGATTAAAAAGTTTACCTCTTGAGCCAGTTTTCAGGGCATATCCTGTTTTCTATGGAAATTGCAAGATTTTGTTGCAAAAAACCAAGTCCGTTGGCAATATTTTGGGGAATGTAATTGTGGTATGTGGACTTCATTATGTGCAGAACTCTATTTTGCGGACTAAGATGCTCAACGCGTAAAGGGAGCTTTTTTGAGTGCAGCAAAGTTTTCCAATCTCTGATGCGTCAAATTTTCTCCAGAAGGAATTGAGGCAGCTAAATGATCCAACTATTTGTACACCGCAAGACTTGAATTATAAGGTTCAGTATTTCACGAAGTGGGAAGCAACTATGGGCTTGGTATTGTTTTTTTCTCAACTTTGAGTAACCTAAAGAAGTGTGGTGCATATTAGAGCCTTATAAATAATGATTTTGGACCACTTTGAGGTTTTGATAGCTATAATAAACACTCATTCTTGTATTTTTTTCCCACCGAATTCAATCGCCTTTTGAACAAGTATATGAGAAAACTTTGACAAAAAAGCCAATTTTTTTCCGATTTTTCAAGTTTATGTTTTTAAATTTGATATCTCAGATAGGATGTTTTGAATAGCCTCTGGTAATTTCACAGTAACCGACTATCCTTGTTTATTTGTGAAGCTAATTTTTTAAGGAATCTTCCTGTAATTTTTAGGTTTTTTGAGCTTTTTACATTTAATTTTCTGCTTGTCTTTGCTAAGTGCAGCTCTACATCTGTATAGTATTTAAAGTTTATTGTGGATATGGGTTTTATCCTTTGACCCATTTTCTCAAATTGGGTTGGTTTTTGTCATCAGTATTCCGATAAAAACGATCAAAATTTTTAAAGAGCTTTTTTCTATTTTTTTTTCATTGAAACTCGGAAGCTTACATTTCGACCTTTCTTTTTCCGGTTTTTTAATTTGCTTAAATTATAATCATAAGAGCTTTCACTATCTCATTCTTGAACCCTAACTTCAGACGACACCCACCGATGAAAACAGTAAGAAAAATATGAAAAAAAAAACTTGAAAGAGTTTCCCTTTCAATTATCTGTATATTGATTTTTTTTATTGCTGAAAAACGCTACTCAGCACGAAAAAGTTTTTTGTTTTTCTTGATTTTAGTAATTTATGTTAAAATAAGACGGCGAAACGCCTCGCCAGAGCTATTCTCAAGATCAGTTTTTGAATTTGGGCTTTTTTACTTGACAGTTTACTATTAGTGCATCTCATCATTTTGTACTATCAGACAACTACGTCTGTTTTAACACCTTATCACGAATTCAATAGGAGAGCCTCACTCTTTCTGATGGTGAAATCAACCGTAAAAGAATTGCTGAATCGGGATTTGAAACATCCTGAACACTACCCATTAACAGACCCACTTTTTCTTAAACGCTAACACCGATAAACTCCAACCAGCTCGTAACGTCCATTATCAAGACTGACTTTAAGCCCCATGGAATCTCTTTTAAATCCCGGAAAGGGTCAGCTCAATTGGTGGTTTATGGCTCAAGGCTAGCAACAGTATAGTAGTCAGAACAAGCTGGCAATCCGGAAAAACGCCGTCGGCAAAACTGACGAGACTTCATTGCTCTCATCTAGAACTAGGGAAAGTGATGGATGCTCTTCGACTCTCTGCTTCGCTTGCTTCGATTTGAATTTAAAAAACCTATACATAGCCTTATACTGGCCGTAGTGCTCCTAAGCAAGAAATCTAACCCGAAATCACCGGCCAGATTTCCGACGGGAAATTCATATACTCGTATCAATATATAGGTGATTTTATTGTTTCTCGGTTCTCCTAAAGAAAACTGCGGCGTTTAAAGATGGTCAATAATTTGTTTAATTTAACATTTGTAATCCTGTCCTGGCAAAGAACATCAAACCGATTATGGGTCAGACTTAAAAAGTGAGCTTATCGAAGAAATATGCAATCATAAAGACATGAAACTCCAATGGTAGATGATAGAGGATGCGGTTTAATCGAAACATTGATTCAAACAACCAATAAAAATAATGACACATGAAAACTGCCCTTCGAAATCTGAACTCTTGCGTTCTCTGAATTTCTACTCGAAAAAAAAACATTATAATAATTGCCTTTCAAATGCTCATTGTTAGCTCTTGAAAACGTCACCATGCTGATAATTGAGGTAGCCAAGCTCTAAAGAACAACTCGGTACCATATCAGATACCCGTCCAAGGCTACAGCAGGGATCGCTCAAAGTGACAGGAAATATGGTGCATAAGGTGTAAAACGTTATGCAACACCAACCGTGGGGGAGGGTAGATGTCCCTTTCGCCATAGCAGGTTCACCCCGAGGAGGTGGATGGCACTGGGACCGCTCCAACCGTG